ATGGAATCGGTTCAACCCTCCCCCACACCACCATACGACCCCCAAACGGGGATCGGTTCATCCGTTACCCCCACCCCCCACCTCCCAGGCACAGGGAGGCGCGGGCAGTCTTTGTGGGCGCGTAGCCGCCCACCGCCGAGCCTGAGCCTCTCCGCACCCTGTACGTAGAAGAGGCAAGTAGGGTGGGGTGCATGTACAGATTTGAGGATGCAATATTCAAGCGAGGCAGGACGTTGGACCCGCTGGGATCCTCGGTTCTCCACCGAGCTGCAAGGGGGGCGAGGGAGGGGCGACCCCGCATCTGGTCCTGCGTCTCAAACACCCCCTCCACCCTCATACCAACCTGGTCGTAGATGTTCTGCAGGGCTTCCTTGCCCGAGGCCCGCCGGATCTCCACCTTCCGGCTCGATTCAACAGATGGCTCCCCGCCGGCGCGCCGGCCCTGCCGGGAGTACTGCGGCTGCGGGTCCGGGCCCAAGTGGGCGACGTCCCGCTGCTGAGCCACCACCTGCCCCGAGCCCCGGCCCACAGACAACGAGTCGAAGTCGATGGTCTTGTTCTCGGAGGACCCTTCCACCGGGCAGAACATGCCACAGAATTTCTGCCGGGGCTTGGGGCTGCCTGAGCCCAGGTTTTTAAAAAAAGCAGGGACTTCTTCGTCCTCTGCCGGCTTCCCGGATTGCTTCCTCTCGGCCATGGCGCGGGAGCTCGGGGAGGGTCCTCTCCGTCCGTCCGTCTGCCGGTCCCTAAATCGGCCTCTCAGTGCACAAACCCCCCTGGTTGCTGCCGCTGCCGCTCTCTGCCTACCGCAAGGTGTACAGAAAGGAAGGAGGGCTGGCGAGCAAGCGACCCCACCCCTCCCGGTCCCTCCCTCTGACCCCGCTTTCTCCCCTCCCTGCCCACGCCCCCCGCCGCCGCGCCAGCTCCCGCGAGCAGCAAAGTTGGGTCTGGGAGGGCGGCCGCTGCGGCAGCGGGAGCAGAGAGGCTGCCAGTTACTGGCAGCGGCGTGAGGAGGGAGGCGCGGGCGGGGCGGGGGCGGGGCGCGGCGCAGGGGAGGGGAGCCGGGCGCAGGGGAGGGAGGGGAGGGCCGGGCCGCCGAGAGCCCCGCGCTCCGGAAGTGAAGCGGCCAGACCACCCGCTAATGGATGCGGAGCACAGGGCCTGCTGACCGCTCTCCGCGCCACGGTAAGTATGGGGCAGGGCACGCAGGGGCGAAGACCGGAGGGCGCAGCCCCTGGCCTCTGCTCTCCTCTCCCCCACCTGCCTGGCCCAGGAGCCTCTCCCCCACCGCATTGCAGAGGTGGGCCAGGGACAAGGGCCCGCTGGAGAGAGGGCACCCTCCCCCTTACCCAGGGTGTGAGCTGATGGATGGGGAAAGAGGGACGAACCGACTGACGCCTGGACACCCAGGAGGAGGGGAAGGGGCAGACCATATGGAGAAGTGGGGGCCTTACGAGGCATGGGATACCAAACCTTGTTACGCAAGGGCCTTGGTAGGCTACGCAGAGATTGAAACGAAAAGGTTCTCACTCACTGCACCCACAGTGGTAGGGGGCGCCTAGCATGGCGGGGAGAAATGCAGAGGGGCGTAGCAAAGGCGAGGGAGAAGTGTGGATAAAGACATAGGTCTACGCGCTGTGGGAGTGTAGCAAAAAGTGCAGTCTGCAAATTCTGGCGCCGAACGGCAACTTGTAGTAAGAGTGGGTAGAGACCTGTTCTATTGCCCGAAGGCGTCGTGTGCCATAACTGCGCCACTGCACCTCTAAGAAGGGCCAGGAGAATGTCTCGATTTGGTATCTTCCGCCCCTCCTTCCTTGCCAAAACAGAGGGTAATACGCAGATTGAAGCCCACTCCCCAAGTCCCCAGCCCTTCTCCGCACCCAGAGTGCCCCGCCTCAATCCCCCGCCCCCGTTGCGCACTGCGCCAGAGCCACGGGGTTTCCCAGGTTGCCAAACGCCAAGTGCCTGGGATGTAAAGTGCGTGCGCGCGAGTCCAGTGGTGGGGTAGGGGATGGGGTGCAGTCTGTGACTGTGCCTTGAATTGTGTGAGGCCACGCCGGGGAAAGGTGTGTGGGACTTGGTGTGTATGTGCGGCTCTACCAGCCACAGCTACTGGGTTGGTGGGCAGATAACGAGCATTTTGATTTGTGCCGGTAACGCGGTCTCTGAGAGTCCTTCATTGCTTATTCCTGTCCCCATGTCTTTTCCATGCGTCAATCCCTGCCTCTGGTCGATTACAGCCCCGCCCCTCTTTCCATAGTGGCAAAATCCTGCAGGAACGATGCCCATCCTTTGGCGGCTGGAGAGGGAGATCTGGGCATGCTCGGTAACCAGGGTGGGTTTGGGCTAGGAGAAGCTGTAGACCGCAAGACCGTCGCGCAGGACAGCGTGACCAAGGATCCATTCCCATTGTCAGCCCTTGCCCCTGGAAGGATTAAGTTCAGATACCCTTCTCCCCCCACCCCCATCGTGAGGGACAGTTTGGGGAATGGAGTTAAATTTGGAGGACAACCAGTCACAGTTTGAAGACGAGCCCACCATGACAGGTGGGAAAGAGGACCCCGCTGAGAACTGCGAGAGGAGAGGGGAGGGCCAGGGAGGCCCAGAGAACCGGAGGCAGGCATTTGGACTTTGAACCAGATGTGCTTCGCGTTTGAATAAAGTGCTTCCACACGAATTACATCATTTCCTACCCAGAGCGAGCCCGTGAGATGAGTGCTTTTATCATCACCTATTTCCAGAGCAGGAAACTGAGATTTAGAGAGACTGAGGTGCTTTGGCCAAGGTCACTCACTATCTAGCTAAATGATCCAACAATTACAGCTGAAAATCTGATTCCTTTTCCAACTTGTCCCATCTTTACATGAGAAAATACAAGATTTTTACCTTTTTATTTTCATGTCCAAATATTTCCATTGCAGGTAGAGATCGCCTTTGGAAGAAGCAGCCAGCCAAAGGTAGCCTGACCTCCGCATGGCCATTATTATGTAGACCTTGGAGATGTTTCTTCCTGGGCATTCAGTGCCTTTTTACATCTCCTGTTTCCTCTAAATATTATGAAAAGAAGGTTACCCCCTTACCTTAGGAGGGAAGGTGTGGCATGGAGAAGCCACTGGGCTCAGGTCCCTGGGGCTGCTGGCTGAAGGTCGGATCTGACATTTTGCCCTCCTGGCCCTCTGGCATGCGCCATGCCTTCTGCACCTTCCAGAAGGACTTGGAAAATGTGCCTGCAGTGAGAGCAGGTGCCACCGTAGCTACGGGCTGACATCTGTGGCATATGGAACCCATTTGGACTGATGGGGATGTTTTAGGCCTACGGAAGAATATTCGTAGCCCCTTAACACACACCCCATGACAGTAACTGGGAGACGGTAGAAACGCTTCCCTTTCTACATCCTCCAGTTTCCACCACTCTCCACAGATGGGCTTCCTGTTTTTCTTTTTTCCTCCAATGACCCATTCAAGCTTAAGTGTTATGAAGCATTTTTAACATTCATAGCAAAAGAAACACTTAGTTGTGCATTTGCAAAGCCTGCCCGCACATAACAAAAGAGAATTCATAATTCCAAGTTACTTGGTTCTGAGATTTCTTTTTTTAATTGTTAAACCTAGGGGTGCCTGGGTGGCTCAGTTGCCTAAGCATCTGCCTTTGGCTCAGGTCATGATCCCAGGGTCCTGGGATCAAGCCCTGCGTCGGGCTCCCTGCTCAGTGGGGAGTCTGCTTCTCCCTCTCCCTCTGCCCCTGCTTGTGCTCTCTCTCTCTCACTTGCTCTTTCTGTCTCTCAAATAAATAAATTAAATCTTTAAAAATATTGTTAAACCTATACTAAATTGTTATGCCTATAGTATAGTATATAAGTTAAATTATTATACCTATATTGATTTAAATGTTTGAGTGATCTCTAATTGTATTTTTTAATCAAAGAAATGCAGCAACTCCATTTGTTTAGTAGATTTAATTGTAAAGGATTGTCATTTTCTTAAATAAGTGCATTAACAGTCATCATTGGCTATCATCAAAGCCATAAATATATATTATTGTTATTTATGTGTAACAGGGCAGCTTGGCTTGGCTGGAGCTAAGACAGACCCAGATACACCATTGTGTGGAGTTGGGTGACATCTTCCTTTTCTAGAAGCTGACTAAATAAGCTCGTGACTCTCACGGAACAACTGGAACACATACACAGCTATCTAGCCACATCTGATTTCGTTCTTCATGTGGGGAAAATCTCAAGTCCTTTCCTCAACTGGGGCTCAGTCATTAATTGGCATGACTGATGAGCAAATGGTGGGGAAGCCAGATTGCAGGAGGGTCCCTAAAAGAAAAAAAAAAGTCACTCTAAGCAAAAAAGAGGTCTGACAGAGTGGGGCAGATGCAAATCCAATGAGAGACAGAACTCCTGGCCTACCCCCGCTTGCATCATGAACCAAAGTGCAATGCTCCCCGGAAAGGAGAGGGCTGTGTGGTAAAACTGACCATTGTTTCACTAGGAGTCCAAGTCACCCTGCTGGGACACATCTCTCAGGGAGCTCGGGATGCAGGGGTGCAGAGTGGAGGCCTTTCCCCATGACTAGCGAGAGGAGAGGTGAGGCGAGGCGGCAAAGACTGGGAGAGCGGCAGAAACAGCTCTTACAGGTGCCTCGGTCACTCGGAGGAGGGTCAACAGTACCACATGGCTGCTAGCATCCGGGAGAGAGCAACGGCAGACCCCGGACTGCAGAGCCACGGGGAATGGCACTGTCATAACCGAGCTACCGACCGGCCACCTTGGGTCAGGTCTAGAGACATAATTGGAAGTGCTGAGTTCTTGCCACTGGGCAAGTAAGGGTTATTGGTCCAGAAGACCTTGGGACTGCTGTGGGAGTGGCCTAGGACCCATTCAGGGGTAGAGTAGAAGTTCAGGAGCTCACGCAGGATATTCTGAGTCCTACGGCAGCGTATCTGCACCACAAACTAATCAGCAGCCGTAGAGTTAGAGCGAGCAAATACTCGGAAGATGGCTGTGGCACGGTTGGAGGACTGGTGCAAGATCATGAGTGTGGATGAACAGAAATCACTGATGGTTATGGGGATACCAGTGGATTGTGATGAGGCTGAGATTCAGGAGGTTCTCCAGGAGACTTTGAAGGCTCTGGTCGGGTATAGACTGCTTGGCAAAATATTCAGGAAGCAGGAGAATGCCAATGCGGTCTTATTAGAGCTCATGGAGGATATTGATGTCTCGGTGATACCTAGTGAGGTTCAGGGAAAGGGGGGGATCTGGAAGGTGATCTTTAAGACCCCTAACCAGGACACTGAATTTCTTGAGCGACTGAACGTCTTTCTGAAAAAAGAGGGGCAGACAGTCTTGGGGATGTTCCGAGCCCTCGGGCATGAGGGAGTGTCTCCGGCCGCCATGCCCTGCGTATCACCAGAGTTATTGGCTCATTGGCTGGGGCAGGCGATAGCACAAGCCCGTCAGCCTCTGCTGCCCATGAGATACCGGAAACTGAGAGTGTTCTCGGGGAGTGCCGTGCCCGCCCCCGAGGAAGAGCCCTTTGAAATCTGGTTGGAACAAGCCACTGAGATCGTCAAAGAGTGGCCGGTAGCAGAGGCGGAAAAGAAACGGTGGTTGATGGAAAGCCTGCGCGGCCCCGCCCTGGACCTCATGCATATAGTGCAGGCGGACAACGCGGCCATCAGCGTGGAAGAGTGCTTGGAGGCCTTTAAGCAAGTGTTTGGAAGCCTGGAGAGCCGAAGGACCTCCCAGGTGAAGTACCTGAAGACCTATCAGGAGGAGGGGGAGAAGGTCTCAGCCTATGTGTTGCGGTTAGAAACCGGCGAGCCGTGGAGAAACGAGCCATCCCCAGGAATATCGAAGATCAGGTCCGCTTAGAACAGGTGATGGCGGGCGCCAGCCTTAGCGAGGTGCTGTGGTGCAGGCTGAGGGAGCTGAAGGATCAGGGCCCGCCTCCCAGCTTTCTTGAGCTAATGAAGGTAATCCGGGAGGAAGAGGTGGAAGAGGCCTCTTTTGAAAACGGGAATATGGAAGAGCCCGATGAAGGGGGTGGCTATGGCCCCTGGGATCACGAGGCAGATGACTAAAAACCAGCTCCGCGCAGGACCCACAGCCAGTGCACCTAGGGACATTCGCTTTATCCAGCTGAGACCGCGTGGCTCTTTTTGTGGTTAAATGTACACAACTGAAATCGAGGCTTTTGGGCCAGGTTTGCTGCTTCTTTCTCAGAAAAAATTATCCGAGAGTTGCTTGGACCCTACATAGATGATAAACACACACCAGATTAAATTCCAAATATGAGTTGGGAAGCCTGAAAGAAGCTGAGGTACTTCAGGTCTCCCAAATAGACCAAAGTTTACCCCTACGATAAAAGAAATGATGTGAGGAAAAAAAAAAAAAAAAAAATATATATATATATATATCTTTTGTAATTTATTTAAAAATCTAAGCTCTTGGACTTGTCAGATGATTTCCTTTCTCAAGTCAGCACCTTCTCTCTGAGTACCTAGCAGTGTGAGGTGCTGGTCAAGGAGGTAAGGATCCTAAACCTAGGAGCATGGGCGGTGCTCTCAGGGAGGTTACCGCCTCCTTGAGGATGTGACCTCGGCATGGGAGAAGCAAATAACCTCATGTGTAAATAAGTCACAACACCAGTAGAAGCGCCATTGCCAAATGAATACAACCAGCTCCGCTATGATGTTTCTTTCTTTACTTGGGATGCACTCCTCCACTTTTCCGCTAGGTGTCAGATGGTCAGTTCCAGGCACTGGGTCAGATCCTCAAGACACAGATGACTCAGCCTAATCGCTACTTTCAAGAGATCTACAGTGTGCCAGACACCTTCGAGAAAGAGTGGGCATTATGGGAAGGCATGCTAGAGAGGGAGGATTGGATTTAGCGAGCAGACCGTTTTGGTCAGAGAAGATTTTTAGTGGTGACAAAGGGGACGGAGGAGAGAGGAAGGGAGCTCGTGTTTACTGAGGGTCTATTATGTCCCAGGTGTTTTACACATATCTCATTTAATGCACACAGCAACCCCAACAGAGTATCGTGTTGCCCTTTTTGAAAGAGAAGATGAAGCTCAGATGAGTTAAGTGGTCTCCTCAATATAGAAATGCTAACAAGTGGCAGAGCTGAGATAGAAGTCCGGAACTTTAGGACCCTTGCTAATCCTCCCGCCACTACAGTCCTGATTTTTCAAGTTGTGCTCCGCAGTTATGCAGAGATTTTTCAGCCGTTCCATCTTTAAAATGTATTTTAAACTCCACATCTCTACTGAAAAACAGGTAGATTCAAGTGTGTCGATCGATACCCAAATGTTCACACATTGGCATTCACCCACAGGCTCACTTATGTTTCCAGATGGACTCGTTTTGTGCAGACCTCAGAAGTAACGTTCCCTTGTGATATCTGAGCACATATCTGAACTTAATTGTTCAAAGATTAAAGAAGTTAATGGCATCTCACAGGTGTTTAAATCATGTTCATGCATGCCCTGTGATGTAATGTGTGCTCGTGGAGCATAAATGAGCACCATTCGGTTAAATCCTAGTTGATATATAGCATCATGGTAGCTTTTTGTATACAGCAAACTTCTCTAAACATCAGTTCCCTCGTTGGGAAAATGGGAACAGAATAGAATAGGGTTGTTGTTGGGCTGCAATGACGTAATGCCTTTGAATCACTTAGCATGATGCCTGGAACATAAAAAGCCTTCAGTACTTAAGACTCATGATTTTCATGATACTTACTGAATGTTCGGTGCATGCTCTCTTTATTGTTCTAACAGTGGTGCGATAACAAGTAAATATATAATCTGTCAGTCAAGTTGGGACAACATTGCATCAGAAACCATTTTAGCTCCTCTGGTCCATTTGAGTGCTTGCTGTCTGTTATCTTTGTGTTAAGTACGCCAGCAGCTGGACTGTTGTTAGTGATTGGACTTGGAAACGATAAATTATTCTTTCCAATTGTGGATAATTTTTTAAGATTTTATTTATTTGACAGAGAGAGAGATAGTGAGAGCAGGAACACAAGCAGGGGGAGTGAGAGAGGGAGAAGCAGGCTTCCCGCCGAACAGGGAGCCCGATGTGGGACTCGATCCCAGGACCCTGGGATCCTGACCTGAGCCGAAGGCAGACGCTTAACGACTGAGCTACCCAGGTGCCCCCGATTGTGGATAATTTTAACGGACGAATATCCTGAGATTGTAAGAAAAGCATTTTTTTAGAAGGTACCATTTGTGATCATTTCTATGTTATAATTTTTCAATACTGTTCAACCAAAATATCCAGTACACCCTTTCATGGTTTTTTTTGTATTCATGAAAATGGCCTCATTGTTCTCAGTTATTGACAGTATACAAAGTAAAATGTTATAAATGTGAAGTTATTAAATAAATAACACGCTAATAAAATGCTGAGGTTTTTCATTTCATGTATTTTGATTCTGTATTAGCTATTGCTTGAAGGAGTTTCATTACAAAAAAAAAGAAAAATTGATAGGTAAGGTTAGAAAATCAAACCAAAGCCAGAAGGTCTGAACTCTTCTAGACAGGAAAACCTGAGAGCAAAATGCTGGGATTAGAGGACTTGAGCTTTGTCTCCAGGGATTAAGAGAGCGCAGTCCACCCATCATCGATTTCCCTTTTAAAATACATAGAAACAACAGATGGAGGCCTGTTCCCTCAGAGACCTCCAACTCATTTTCTTGGGCAAGTTACTGTACAGATAAATTCAGCACGTCTATTCTGCCAAGAGTGAAATGACCTAGAGGTAAAATATTGCATCTTTTGGATGAAGTCATTTTTTTACCTTGCAGATGTGTAGGAGGAAAGTTCCTCTTCCCATTGGCCTTCTCAAAATAGTTTCTCTTCCACTTTTCTACAGAGCAATGGGGGAGGATTCCTCCCTGAGCTGTACACAGTGCAGATCAGCCTATTACAAGATGAGTGTCCTGAGGGATGCCCAACACCGTCTCCCAATCACTTGAGCAAAAACCTCTTAAAAAATTGGCCTCACCTTATACCTACTATGTCTCCAGTCCTGACCCTTGGACACTGAGGCCTCCAAGATTACATAGCCCACTGCTGAAGACAAATTCTTTGGTTTTTGGTTTTTGGTTTTTTACCAGGGTCATGAGTTTCTTCAGGCCTTAGGGTCATCTGACATCTCCACCTGCACCAGCCAGTCTGCCAAGCCTCACATCCCATTGTTATCCGCTGTCCACCCCAAATGCAAGACTCTGATCATCAGTTCTCATCTTTACTCTCCTGTCCACACTGCACTGTGTTTCCTTCCAGTGCTGATCTTCAAGGTCGTCCAACGTGCCTTCCTGGTACTCATGATGTCCTAGACAAACTAGCCTATATCATCAGAGTCCTTGCAAAATACCCTGGCACCATATTCCTTAATTGAACTCTGGTCCCCCGGTAGCCTGCTGCCTTCAAGTCTCTTGAGTGGAAGCTGCTCAGTCTCCCATCTCAGGAAAGATTGGAGAGTGCTGGTGGCACTTCTTTTAGTTCACCCTCATCACCTCCCCACTTGCAAACACATTTCCTGGCATAAATTGACTCCCTCTGCCCCACAGTGAGCTGTGGGTCAGTCCTGGCAAGCCTAGACAGCATTGGCAAAGCAACCCAATGTGCGAAGAGCCTATTTAGGATGGCACCTGGCCAGATGTTATCTCTAGCAACAAAAAGTGGAAGAAAAAGATAACAAATGTAAGCCATATCTAAGGGAGTCCTACAAGTGAAGACTGGGAAAGCAAAGATGGTTGGAAGCTAGAGTTTTGAGGAGTGGAGCCTGAAATGAGACAGAAATGAAGTAAGAGGATCTGAGACAGTATTGTCAAATACACTCAGAGTTCATTTTTTGTTGATCACCAGCATAATTTTTGGGTGGTCTATAAAGACTCATGATCAGAGCAGACCTCTCTCCATCTTTCAGGGTGGGCTGGGAGCTCCTTGAGTTTGCTCAGGGAAGACTTTTACTCACTGAGAAAATCTCTTGGGGTGCAAGATGGTGTCTAGAGATGGGCTTCTCAGAAACTAGCTTCCCCACTGTAGCAGGCTCTGGATTTGGCCCTGGTGCTGACCTGCATTACACAACTTTCTGCTGTGCCTGAGTGGTCCTTGACATCCCAGATGAACATTTTCTTAAAAACCAGAGTAACTCCAGGGGCGCCTGGGTGGCTCAGTTGGTTAAGCAACTCGGGTCATGATCTTGGAGTCCCAGGATCAAGTCCCGCATCGGGCTCCCTGCTCAGCAGGGAGTCTGCTTCTCCCTCTGACCCTCCCCCCTCTCATGCTCTCTCTCTCTCATTCTCTCTCTCAAATAAATAAAATAAATAAAATCTTTAAAAAAAAAAAAAAAAAAACTAGAGTAACTCCAGAAGTGGATGCCAAAATCAATTCGATCATAAGAAAAAAAGGTGTAGGATTTCAATCTGTCTTTCAGGACACCAGCTGGAGCTGACCATTAATTGTGTGGGGTGCTTAAAGCAGCAGCTGAGGCTTTTTCCCAATCTGCCCCACCCCCACCCACCCTTGAAGGGAAAGGTTACCAAAGGGAGGCATTACCCAGACTATGGGGTAGTGCTGAGGCTAGGAGTCTAGGCAGGAAGTCCCCAGAAAAGGCAGGGAAGGCTTACCTCCCTCCCATCCTGTCCCAGACCTGCCCCCACTCTGCAGAGCCTAAAGGCAGTCCCACTGAAGGCCTTCCCTGTCTTCTTGGTACAACAGCTTTCCCAATTAACTCAGTTACTAACACTGCTTTCTTGAAATAACAAGCAATTGTCACAAAAGTAAACTTCCTTTTTTTTCCAGCTTTATTTAAGATATAATTGACAAGTAAAAATTCTGTGTATTTAAGGAGTGCAATGTGATGTTTTGATGTACTTTTGAATTGTGAAATGATCCCCACAATCAAACTAATTACCTCACATGGTTACCGTGTGTGCACGTGCACACGCGTGTGGTAAGAACATTAAAAATCTATTCTCTTAGCAAATTTCAGGTACACAGCATAGTATTAACTATAGTCATCATGCTGTACACTGGATCTCCAGAACTTAAGCATCCTGTGTAAGTGAAAGTTTGTACCCTTTGGCCAGCATGTTTCCATTTCTCTCACCTCCCAGCCCCTAGTAAGGGCCATTCTACTCTCTGCCTCTATGAGTTCTACTTTTTTAAGATTCCACATATAAGTGAGATAATGCAGTATTATCTTTCTGTG